TTGCCTTCCTATTGTTTATTTCATTTTCTCCTCACAAAAATTTATTTGGCTTTGGCACTTCTTTTAAGATAATACAAAAATAATATATGAGGCAGTAAATTCCTTAAGGAATTTTTGCTCCAGTTGGGAAGAGATGAATACATTTTCTTCTACCCACCTAATTTCTAGTTTATAGCTAACTTACTATATTTGTGGGCTTCCCTGGATTCTTTGTTTGAAAAAATCATTATACTGTAGCATCCCCTTTTACTATTTTGATTGAGACAGACATACATTTCAAACATATACATAAGCACATATTTATGTCCACACCTAACCATGTATGCACATATATTATATCTTGAAGTGCTTAGTTTAGGTTTCCATGAGAATATGTTGAAGTTTGACCTAAGTTGAAGTAATAATGATACTCTGCTACTTCTCCTCAAAACAAGGAGAAATCCATTCTCTTCCTATCCAGAATTTGTTCAACCTTTCTGGCTTCAGAAAATAGTCTACGGATATGGCGAAAAGACTGACAGATAAAACAAAAAAAATTGTCCCAACATTCTATTCAAGCAACACTTATTACAAACCTGAGCTGTGATCAAGCAAATAGCCAAAAGAATTCTTTTTTTTTTTTAATTTTACCCACTCTCCTTTGCCCTATTCTACCTTTGGAGGAAATGTGAACAACTGGGCAGTAACAATAGGTTAATCAACAAGAAAGAATGGGAGGAAAGGGGAGCAGATTGGATAAACTTTAATTAACCACCTAAACGACTGAGTTTGCTCTACTTGTCAAAAGATTCATAAGGTAGACTCCCTCCTTCCTTCAGATTTATTTCTGTAACATTGCTATATCTTCCACACAAAAAGACTGCCAGATTTCCCACCTGTTTCTGAGGTTATAATCATCTTTTTGTTCCCATCACAAAAATACAACAAAACTATAAAATCTATTGCAAAAACAAAGTAATTCTCAGGATCAAAAAGACAAGCTCCTCTCTTCCTCTGATAAATATGAATAGTGAAGTTCAATACACTGGAGGAGAAGAGGTCATTCTGAGCCTTGGGTATCCCATAAAATAAACATTGAAATAAAGGTAATAGTGAAGTCATAGCTTCATTTCTTCCTCTTATCGATATAATTAAAATAAAAGGAAGATGCAGTGATAAAAGACTCATGATGAGAACATAAGCCTGTGAGAGATTGCCTCAGAACCGTGACATATCACTGAATGATCAAGAACCCTAAGATTATGAAATAGGAAAAATGAGCTCATGTTCAGCTGCCCAGATAGGGACAGATAGCAGCGTGTCACTCGGAGACCGTCATCCTAGAGCTGATCCTTGGACTTTGAGTCATCCCTTTTGGTTTGTTCAGTCCTGGCCCTGTACAATTCTCAAAACAAAACAAAACAAAAAGCAAAACCATTAAAACAGTCATTTTCCATGGTTAGATTTTCAATCACTAATCAAGTCTGGCTGGAAATAAAGCATAGTAAATAATGAACAGAACTAGGAGTTAGGAAGACCTGAGTTCTCATTCTGATTTGGATAAATATTGACTGTGGTACTCTGGGCTATTCATTTAAACCCTCAATGCCTCCATCAACTTGGATAAGACTACAAATTCTAGAATAGTTGTGCATCTGCATTGGTGGAGAGTTTCTTCATTGGGAATTATTCCTGATGTCAATGACATCACAGGTGTATACTAAAAACTGCACTCTGTGCAAATATTATTTATTTTCTTTCCCACTAAATGAATGTTAAAATACAACACAAAATACAAATCACAAGTGTGTACTAAAAAAACTGAAGTCTATGCAAATATAATTTATTTTCTTTCCCACTAAATGAATGTTAAAATATAATTCATAGTAACTGTGGTGGGTGTCACATGGTAGAGTGAAAACACTGGTAGGCTGATAATAGGAGGGGTGGAGTTCTATTCCCTGACTAGTTGTGTGACCTTAGGCATATCACAAATCTCTCTAGCTAGCAGTTTCCCCATCTGTACAATGGGAGTGGTGATTCTTATATGTACTACGGAACTCACAGAGTTGCTGGGAAGAAAAAACTTCTGTGACCTTAAAAGATTAGGTTAATTTGAATTATCATTATTTGAAAAATGAAGGGTTTGGCCTGAGTGATTTCTAAGACTCCACATGACTTTCTTAGGGTACAAATCACACCCAGTCTTCACCATCTTTTTTTTCAATCATTACCTTTAGGGAAGAAAAGAAGAGAAGAGAAAAACATTGGCACCAGTAATTTATTCAGGGTGAGGAACACCTATAGTCTGAAGATTAGCATTTATATAATACTTTAAGGTTTGCAAAGGGGTAGCCAGGTGGCACACTGGATATGGCACCAGGCCTGGAGTCAGGAAGACTCATGTTCAAATGTGACCCCAGATACTTACTAGCTGTGTAACTCTGGGCAAGTCACTTAACCCTGTTTGCCTCAGTTCCTCATCTCTAAAATGAGCTGGAGAAGGAAATGGCAAATCACTCCACTAACTTTGCCAAGAAACCGCCAAATAGGGTCATGGAGACTCGGGACACAATGAAAAACAACTAAACAAAAGGTTTGCAATGTGCTTTTATGGTGTTAACTCATCAATGCAATTCTACAACTTGCAGACTTAGAGGACTGAGGAATTAAGTGACTTTCTTGTGGTCACAAATCTGGTATGTGGCGGAGACAGGATCCGAACCCAGGTCTCAATCATTTGAAGGTGGTTTGCTGCTTGTGGTCCTCAAATACCCCTGAACAACTGTCGCCATCTCACAAGAAAGCTAGACTCACAAAGGATTCTCTTGTACTTCCCAAAGTGAGCCCCTTCCCAATGACCATCACAGAAGAAAAAGGGAAGACTGCAAGCGTCAGGATCAACTTTACCGGGTCTTCAGGACAGGGGGAAGAAAACAAGCACTTATGAAGTGCCTGTGATGTGTCAGGCACACTATGTTGTGCACTTTACAAACATTATCTCAGTCGATCCTCACAACAATCCTTTGAAGTATGAGCTATTATTATCTCTACTACATGGATAAGGAAACTGAGGCATGTATAAGTTAAACGACTAGCTCAGGGTTACACTACTAGTAAGGATCTGAGGTTGAATTTGAACTTAGATCTTCCTGACTTCAGAAGCTGCTCTAATCCAGAACCAGGAGAACACTGTACATAGTAACAGCAACACTGTGTGATGACTGACTTTGTTAGACTTAGCCCTTCTCAGTAATGCAATGAGATTTAAGACAATTCCAAAAGATTCATGATGGAAAATGCTATCCACATCCAGAGAAAGAACTACGGAGTCTGAATGCAGATCAAAGCATACTATTTTCTCTCTCTCTCTTTTTTTCTTTCTCATGGTTTTCCTCTTTTGATCTGATTCTTCTTTCACAACACGACTAATGTAGAAATGTGTTTCATATGGTTGCAAAAAAATAAAAGAAGTTGCTCTAATCCTACTGGATTATCCATTTTTTCTAGATAATTTTCCAGCATGGGGTAGACTTTGCATTACTATAAATGATGATAAGGGATGATGTGGGGTGGGTGGGCAGGAGACTGCTAAGTAAAGGAAATTCTAGTGAAGCTAAAAAAAAAATTCATGTGTGCCAGCAGAAAGTGAGCACAGCAAACTGCCTAGTTCAATGTCCTATAGCTTTTCCTATGATTTATTGTCTAAGAACTGACTTGGACTTCCAGCAAAGGCTAGATGACTGCCTGTCAAGAATGTTATGGTGGGGATTCTGTTTGTGCAGGGGTTTGACTGGATGGCTGCTGTGGTCCCTTCCAACTCTGAAATTCTGTGATTCAACGATTTCCTGAACTTCAGACCTTTATCTCACATTAATATCTCTGGACCTGGTTAATATACCAGCTTCCATTTTGTTATTTTTTTTTTAAATTTGGAATGTGACAAATAGTAAACAATGTGAACATTTCCATGAACAAAGAAGAAGAAAGGGGATTTATACATGCAACTGCAAATCTGCACCACTAATAGTTTGCCCTTCCCTCCAAGTGTAAGTACAAAACAAATTCAATAGCTTCCACTTTGTATACTGCCCCTGCCTGCCAATTTCAATTTCAACACCAAGTACATTATCCTTGGTCACTAATCTTTCCCATATTATGATTCTACCTCCATCCTCAACCCAACACTGCCACCCAAATGCTATGGCTTAACTCTCTCCCTTCCTGCCCCAAAAGAGGTTTCAATCAGTAGAGAATACAGACAAGGGAAAAATAAACCTACTTTGACAGCCAATACCCCATGAGAAAGAACCTCAGAGCTCCTTCAAGAACCCTCTTCAAATAGACAAGCTATTATAACCCCTGCCAATCAAATGAGGTTCCACCCTTCTGCAAAGATGCTTCTCAAGTCTGGAGATCCAGGCAAGAAAGCTTTTCTGAGGAATTCTGCACACTACCCCAAGAAATATATGGAAGGCACTCTTTAAGAGGCTTGAGCGTGTTTGAAAATCTGAAAAACATACAGAGCCTCTAATACTGCTTCATCTGAAAATAAATTCACTTTATATTTGGTAAAACATAGAGAGATTAACTTGAGAAGGGACTAAACACACTGGGAAAGATTTTTTTCAAGATGCTAGACCTACAAGCACTTTAGAGATAATTCAGCAAGTTTATAGGGAGGCTAAGGTTTGAACAGAAAACTGTCTTTCCTAGACGTGAAAAATTAAATTCACTTTATATTTGGTAAAACATAGAGAGATTAACTTGAGAAGGGACTAAACACACTGGGAAAGATGTTTTTCAAGATGCTAGACCTACAAGCACTTTAGAGATAATTCAGCAAGTTTATAGGGAGGCTAAGGTTTGAACAGAAAACTGTCTTTCCTAGACGTGAAAAATTAAAACCACTCTGAAAAGCAGCTACAAAGATGCACCTGAGTCCTCATAACTAGATTTTTTTTTAAATAAAAGGTAGCGAAAGAACTGGCACACACAAAAAAATAGTACGGTACAGTTACCTGCATGAGCAGAGAGAGGGGAGTGCGGACGAGGCAATGCTGGTGACTGGCCATTTCCTATTAAGCTTTTCCGGTTACTCGTTCGGCAACTGAAAGAAATAAAAAATAAAAGATGAGAAATAAAAGAATGAAAAAGAAAAAATGTCAAGCTTTAAAGTCAAAATTTGTTCTTAATCACATATAAGCAAATTTAAAGAAAACACGTAACTTATTTTCCTATGCTATTAATGAAGTTATTGCCAACCAACACACAGCCATATACATTTGCAGGGTGACTACATCTTTGTCTTCATTTTTTTCTCAAGTACATGTAAACAAAAAATTTTAACATTCTTTTTTAAAATTTTGAGTTCCAAATTCTCTCCCTCTTTCCCCTCCTCCCTCCCTGAGAAGGCAAGCAATTTGATATAGATTATACATGTGTAGTCAGATTGCATCTTGTCTATTAGAAAATAAAGCTAATTAATAAATTGTAACACCATTAATATTCCTCATCATCAGTGGAGTGACAATAAAAAGTGATCTTTTTTGTTGTTAAAGTATGTGACACATTCTATCCAGATAATAAATTTAGTTTTCAAATCAATCAAAAACTATGGGGAACATCTTTGTTTACATGTAATTTCTAACGCAAAATCGTGCAATGAAGAGCAATGAGTTATCAATCATACGGTGATACACTAATTAAAAATCTAATTATTGAAACAAAATTCACATCTGTGCCTTTTTGTCAATAGAGCAGACATTGTCTCCTAAGAAAAATGTATTCTGTCACTTATCCTTTAAAAAACAATTCTTGTAGACTGAATTCAAATTCACAGTACTTCCCACTCAGAATTAACAGATATCACTAAAGTAAGTTTAAATTTTTATTAAAATGCCAGAAAACAGCTCATTCTTTTAAACTTGTGACCCCTGTTGGTTTTAACCCATGTCTTCATCAACTTTCCTCAATACACAGATAAAAGAGCTAGGTAAGTATATCTTCTGGTTTCATGGGTAACAAAGAAATACCACTCAGGTTGGCCTCTAGGTAGATCCTACCACCCCCTAGGCTAGGAATGATCCAAATGGTTGATGGCAATGACAACATTTACTTCTTTGAATCTGCTTGTGTCATAGACAGACTAGTACTTCGATCCCAGGTCCCTTGTTAACATGTAGATAAAAGTAGAAAAAAACTTGTTCACAGAGTTAAAAAGGTATTTGTATAGTTAACAGAGCACAGAGTAATGAAGGGCAGCAAAGCTGTCTCATTTTGCTCATGGAACCTATGGTGAACGGCAGTTCTCTGCCCCATCCCCAGGTGATTGACATAGACTTCCCTGTCTTCTGAAAGCAGTTCTTGCTACTGTTGTGACTGATTTATGACAACACACATGCCTGGTTTTTTTAGAGATCTATGTTGAGCTACCACCTGATTTCACATTTGGAAGTTTTACATGCCGGGTGGCCATATAATGAGGCATTCCTGTATATTGCCGTCAGAAGCAGAACATGCCGTTTGAAGCCAGAACATCAAGAAAAGGACAAACAAGATGGTGAAAGACTTAGAACACATACTGTTTGACAATTGGTTGAAAAAACTGGGAACGATTAGCCTGGAGAAGAAAAGGGGGCTGGGAGCATGACAGCTATCTTCAAGTATTTGAAAGGCTATACTATGGAAAAGGGATTGAATTTGTCTCGCTACCTACACTCCAGAGGCAACTAGGCAGCATAGTGGGTAAGAGTGCTAGGCCTTAAAGTCGGGAGGATCTGAATTCAGAAGCAGCATTAGACATGTAATAGCTGTGTGACCCTGGGCAAGGCACTTAATTTCTCTCTGCCTCAATTTCCTCAACTGTAAAATGAGGATAAGAATGTCTATCACATACCTCCCAGAGTTGTTGTGAGGATCAAATCAAATACCATTTGAGATATTTGTAAAGTGCTCAGCACAATGCCTAGAATACAGTAAGTGATTAATAAATGTCTGTTCCCTTCCTTCCTTCCCTCCTTCCTTCCTCTCTAGAGGTAGGAATGGGAACAATATATAGAAGTTGTGAAGGGGCAACTTTAGCTTTGACAGAAGAAGAAACTTCTTAACACTAAGAGATATTCAAGAGTACCTTGAGAGACTATGAGTTCCCTATAATTGTACTTCTTTATGTAAAGATTAGGGGACCATGTCAGGTATATTGTAGACAGCAAATACTTGTTCTGGTACAGGTTGGACTAGCTAGTTCCCTTCTAACTCTGACATTTTGTGATTCTGAAATGTATCTTTAAATAAAGTACACATTTCATTCTCTTTTAGCAGAACTGATCAAGTAGCTTCTAGCATATTTGTTATTTATTATTCTACCCTCATATGTAGGATATATACACTATACAGGTATACACAAATATGTGTATAATATGCCAGAAGCTACTAGATCAATACTGCTAAAAGAGATTTGTCATGATAATGAGATGTTTTATGTATTTGTATTTACACAAACACACATAGACATACATTTATACACATATGTATATATCTTATATATATATGTATACACACACACATCTATATTATATATACCTGAACACACATATGTATTTAAAAACCTCTTTAGATAGCATTACCTAATTTTATGGTTCCTCCTAGAGCTTTCAACACCTCCTAGTATCGTTTGTGAGTTTAATTAAGATCATGTTTACTCCTCCTAAGGTTGCTAATGAAGTTGTTAAATAAGACTGGACCCTGGATGCTTAATTATAAGCATAGTTTTGTGATACAGATTCTTATCCATCTAGAATTAAACCAGTTTAATTCATAACCTTTACATCAGAGGCTATCACTTTTAACAAATCAGAATTTTGTAAAATATGTTTTGTGTTCATACAAACTGAATGTCTATTTCAGTGCTTGGGATATTAAATATCAACTTACTGACATTAATAAAAAGAATGGATAATGTTCATGAGATTTATAAAATCCTAGATATTTTGTCGGCAACTCTTAATAATACAAGAGCAAATTACTTACAAAAAAGGTTAATTGTTATTAAAAATAGCAAAGGAACGATGTGATGTTGTTTTTCACTTAACATTTAGCATCTGATTCAGTCATTTATAAAGATTTCATTTTGACAGCCTTAATTATTAATGTTTCTTTTTGTAATGTAGATAAATAAGAAATGTGAACTGCTATTGATGCAAGGTTAAGTCTGTGCTGATGACAGCATTTTAACACAATAGAATTATTAAATTTGGTGGGAGGGTTGTCAATATGACATGTTGACTTAGTTGAAGCAAAGGATTAAGAAAAGATCTTTCTTACATGAATAATCACTGCAAACAAAAACTGGATTTTCCAAAATACACCTGGGTAAACTAATATATTCTAAGGGCCAAATACAAAAGCCAACACTACAGAATAAAGACAATAATACAGCATGCATTTTGCATTTTCAGTACAATCATCATTGAAAGGAAGGAAAATGACAATATCAATGATTTCAATAATATGCTAAAGACAGTAAGGGGAAATAAGAACAACTTAAAAAATCGCTGTGATCAGAAAGGTTCAATTTAAATTATAGATAAATTACAGATAACCAATGAAATTACAGATGAATTATGTTTACCTACTCCATAAAGATTTGTTATCTTTACAAATGTTTGGTTCAAGTCTAATTTATATAAGAGGAAGTAGCTACTACTTTGTATGAATTCCACAACATGTAACTAAAAACAAATTCTTCAAAATTTTAACAATGTGCCTTGAATTTTCATGATGCTAGTACCACGTCCTGCAGAAGCTCAATTTAATCAAACCGCTTTACTTGGGAACAGTATAATAAAAATAACTAAAATTTATATAACACATTAGGGTATGCAAAGCACTTTATATAACTATCTCATCTCGGCCTCACAACAACCGTGGGAGGTAGGTGTTATTATTACACCTATTTTCAGACGGAGAGGACTAAAGTTGAAAAGTGTTAAGTGACTTGCTCAGTCTGTCACAGCTAGTAAGTGTCTGTTGTTACTGTTGTGGTTGTTCAGTCATTTCAGTCAAGTCTGACTCTTCATGATTCCATTTGGGATTTTCTTGGCAAAGATACTGAAGTGGTTTGCCATTTCCTTCTCATTTGACAGATGAGGAAACTGAGGCAGAGTTAAGTGACTTGTCCAAGGTCACACAGCTAGTAGATGGGGCCAGATTTGAACTTGGGTCTTCCTGACTCCAGGACTGGCTCTCTATTCACTGTGCCACCTAGTTGCCTAGTAAGTGTCTAATGGATTAAAAATTCAGATCTTCCTGACTTCCAGAATCCTATCCAATACAGCAAACACTCTGGCCTTTTCTCTCCTGCAAGGGAAAGATGCTGGGGTGGCGGGGGGGGGGGGGGAGAAGCAGGGGAAATTTATAAAGCATCTATTGCATGCTAGGTCATGTGCTAAATGCTTTACAAATGTTACCTCATTTGATCCTCACAATAACCCTACAAGGTAGGTACTATTATTATCCCCATTTTACAGTTCAAGAAAATGAGGCAGACAGAGGCACTTTAAGTGACTTGCCCAGAATCACACAACTAGTTAGGGTCAGAGGCTGAATTTTAACTCGGGTCTTCATGACTCCAGGCCCAACACTATCTGCTGTGATGAGGTCTGGAACAAATACCACACCCATTCACAAAACATGATAAATTAAGTTGAAATATATTCATTTCAGATTGAAAAAAAAATTCGTTGTATTTCAGCCAAGGTTGCTATACGTAAGTTTCTGCCTCGTTGCCCTCTACTCCACCCAACACCCCCACTCAAGGCAAAGAAAGCACAGGTGATGCCCTACCTAGTAAAACAGGAACATTATTTCCATTATGGCAGGAAATTCCTGGCTGATTTGCGTAATTTGCCTGTGCCCAGCACTGAAATATATATAGGTTTATCTTCTGTAGCATTAATGCCAGAGGAGAACAGTGTCATTTCTGTGTACTCAGTTATAATCAATCCAAACTGTATTCTGGACCTTCCCTCCCTAAAGAAGTCATCTTTGACTCTTCTTTCCTCTTCCCCCTCCCCTCTCAGCTGTCAGATCCTACAGATTCTATCTCCA